AAATGTCTGTCTAAGTCATTTCTGAATTTTAACTTATTTGTCAGGACTTAAAAAAATAAGCCCCTTTTACCTAGACAATAATGATTCTTCCATATTTCTGTCAAGGTCATCTTCCTTACTTTCTATGTCATGTTGTCCTTGAATTAGTTACAATTTGCTCTAGTTTAAAGAAGATAAATCAAGGATATGGGGAGGGGGGGAAAGTCAACATGGGAGCGGCAACTATGTGATTAAGGTTGTGTTCCATGTTTATGTGTGTCATCACAGGTAATTTAAAAAAATTGGATGTTCTTGCTTTCTATTAAGTACTTGGTCTTTGTCTCATTTCTCCTACTTCTGTCTTTCATGCCATAATCTCTGCTTTCATACTCTTTCCTCAAGCACATTCCCAGCCCTCTCCTTTTTTGCAAACATATATTCCATGAATTCTCCTTGCTAATACTATTTACTCCAATTTAGCCTGCAGATTTGCCCACTTGCAAGTGATTTTCCTCCCCATTTTAGCTTTATTATATTGCAAAGGAGAAAATAAAAGATTGTGGCAATGGCCAATTATCTTCATGAAGTGTGAGGATTTCTGAATTTATACAGTGAGTGGGATGAGGAAAACCCCTCGGTATAGCCCAGGGATCTGCAACCTTAAATACTCAAAGAGCCATTTGGACCCGTTTCCCACAGAAAAGAAAACACCGGGAGCCACAAAACCTGGGTGGGCGTGGCCAACTTGATGTCACTCACTTCCGCCAGTCACATGACACCCCCCCCCCCAGCCATGCATACCCAGCCGGTCATTAGGGCAGAGAACCAGTTGTTAAAAAACACCAGGAACCACACAATCCTTTTGACATCTCTCTCTCTTCCCTCCCTCCCTCTCTCCCCACTCTCTCTGTATCTCTCTATGTCTCTGTCTCCCCCACTTTCTCTGTATCTCTCTGTCTCTGCCCTGGCCGCTTCTCCATCCCCCGCCGTCGCCCTTACCTTCTCAGGCCAGGCGAGGAGTGACTGGGAGGGGAGGGCGAGGGGTGGGGCCAGCCAATGGTAGCATCACCTGACAGGGAGCCACAGCAGAGGGCCCAAAGAGCCGCATGCGGCTCCGGAGCTGCAAGTTGCTGACCCCTGGTATAGCCCATAATAGACTTTATTAGTCCAACTAGTATTGGCTTTAGTCAATTACCCTTTCATTTTCAAAGGTGATGGCTGAATGGCAGGTCATGATAATGATAATGAGTTGTGTGTAAGGTTTGCCCCTACCTGGTAACTGATACCTTGAAGACTTTGAAATAGATTTATATCTGTTGATAATTTCCTTTTTCTTCTGATCTTATTAGTTCTATTCCCCTTTAAAAAAAATCCATTTGTTTGCTGAAGTCTGATCTTAGTGAATTTAGTAGCTAAAGTTTGTTATGAAAATTATTCCAGTGTTACTCAATCTTGGTGACTTTAAAATGTGTGGCCTTCAATCCCAGAATTTCTCAGCCAGAAAGTCTATTTCTTTCTTTCTTTCTTTTTTTTAAATTTGATTTATATGCCGCCCTTCTCCGGAGACTCAGGGCGGCTTACAATGTGTTAAGCAATAGCCTTCATACTTTTGTATGTTTATACAAAGTCAGTTTATTGCCCCCATAATCTGGATCCTCATTTTACCTACCTTAGAAAGGATGGAAGGTTGAGTCAACCTTGAGCCTGGTGAGATTTGAACTTGCAGTAATTGTAGGCAGCAGATGTAAGTGGATGTTAATAACAGTACTTTAGTCTGCTGAGCCACCAGAGCTCTTTTTCTGGTATTAAAGTCAACAAGATTGGGAAACATTGCTGTATCTTAATCTTTTCTCCTACCATTAACAATATATATATAACAATAACATATCTTGTGTAGGTGTTCCCCCATAAATATACATACATGTGCAGAAACCACTGCATAGCATGTCAAGAAAAAATGCATTTGCCATAGCCTTTGCTGCCATATTTGTGATTTTGCAATCTTTCACTGGGCCAGTTTTTCCCATGAGGAAAGAATGGCCTTGTAGTAATGCTTGTATCCCCCAAGATATAGCAGAGCTGTGTGTCCATCATCCCCATTAATAAGCCAGGAGAACTTTAATTCCATTATAATAAACATAGGGTGATGTTGCACAAAACAGTTCAAGATTCCCAGATATTACTTAGCTCGACATAAGAGGATTGGAGGTGCAGTCCTCCATCTCCCTGTGTCAAGCAGTTACCTGCCAGAATCCTTTCTGCTTCCTACTATGAAAGCTATGTGAAAGGAAGCTGTGTTCATCTTGGCAAGACACAGGATGGAAACCATTGGCTACTTTTTTTTGCCTGTTACACAAAATAATGAATTAAAGCCTTATTTTCAGTTTTCAGCACCTGGATCCAATTTTATTAAATGTTGCTTGTTTTAAAAAATTCTGTAGATCGAGGTTATTGGCAGGGTTTGGTGGAAGCTGCACAATCAGCCAGCAGTTTCTTTTTAAGAGAGCTGTAGCCATAATAACACTCTCATCTGCATATCTAAATGCAAGAAGTCCTTCCAATGAAAATACAGTTAATTGACTTTCTACATGTTGGGATATTATTTTTCCCCATATTAATTCTACCTTGTTAGGATGAGGAGCTATTAACATTAATATTCCACTCTTTGACATTTGTCAAACATCAATATTCTCATCAGTTTTCTTTTAAAAAATCCCTCCCACCTCTGACAACTTCTCAAATGGCACATTATTCTATTCTTTGAGTTTTCTGCATAGGAGGCTACAGGCCTATTCCAATGAGGGGTTTCCTTCAAAAATATACTATATTCAAATACACTCCCCGCATTTTGCTTTTTAGCATAATGGAAAACACGAAGACTTGGAAAAAAATATTGCCATGTTTTCATGTCAAAATGGTCTCTGCCCAGCATGCTGAAGTATGCAATTAATGCAAATTAAGAGTCAAAAGCTAGCCGAACATTTTTAGTGCATCATTCTTGATAGTATTATTATTATTATTATTTTACATTTTGAATATAAACAGCTAGTGGTATAACCTTTGATTCATACAGGGTACATAGATATCTTTAGTGTTCAAGATTTTTACAGCAAGCCAAGGTGGATATATACATTTAGTTACATGTTGGTCCTCTGATGGTACACAAGCTATACATCTTGATGGTCATGTAGTATGTATTTCAGAAAGGCTATGAAATATTAGGAAATCACATGTGTTGTATAAAGCAATCTATGCATATTTGGCCAATTTGGCTGAATTATTTGATTCTCAGCTTTCAACAAATGTATGTTCCATATTATGAAGCAGATTCTCTTCCTTTCCAGTTCTTTCTCATTTAAAAAAAAAAAGCCATTTTATTACCCGAAAGTCACTTTAAGATAGACGTGCTCACATTGCTGGAACATTTCGGGTGATTTTATTTATTCCTCCCCTCCCCCCCCGAAAATCAGAGATGGCCAGAGAATATGGATGCCTTTTTTTCTCAATTGCTGCAGTGCATCTGCTTTATAGAACCCCCCTCTCCCAAGTGGTCAGAAATGGGCAGCATATAAAGCTAAATCAAGTTATGCAATAGAGGCGGTGAAGTTCTTTACCACCTATTATAAACAAATAAAACTATCTCTGCAAGGGACTCATTGACTGTAATTTGTAAGAAAATGTCAAGAGGAGAAGACATTGGTGCATTTTTAAAATTCTCAGAACAATTTGAGGTGGATGCCCTGAATTATCCGTGCCCATCATCATGATTCCCATCACAAATACATTAGATAAATAAAACATGTCTATAAAATGTAATTCAGCACTGATTGATCCCTTCCTCCTCTGCTTTGCCTATTGATCCATTGACTTTTCCTAAAGAGAATCCTTCGGATGTGCTTTCCCTTGGATTGGCAAAGGTCCCAGTTTCCCTGCAAGCTTCTCCCTTTTGCTGTGCTGTATTTAAAATGTAGCTCCCATCAGCTTTCTAAATACCCAAAATGGCATATTGCATAATTGAAACCACTGAAGACAATGTTGCATTTTTTTGAAGGAAGAAAAAAAATGACAGATTTAAGGACTCCATCGTCAATCACATTAATGCCTTTGACACAGATGAAAACGGAATATCTAATGAGCAAGTCTATGCCGGAAGTGGCTTTAGCCTTTGCAACTGTACATTTTAGCTCCTCTAATTGCATCAGTAAGGAATTTGGACCCCTCGTTCAATGAATGCCTTTTGACTATTTTCTGAAAGGCATGTGAGAAGGGAGACACACTAGGATCTTTGATTTAAAAACACCACCAGTCAGTTTTCCATTGGAAGTTATCAGTTCTGCAAAGTGTATTGTGCTGAGAGCTGCACAGTGAATCTTACCCTGTTCCACCCCTTCTTTTGAAAGGTATGATTCCCACTCACCCCTTCGCTTAGCCAACCGATTCCCCTTTCTCCCAACCTGGATAGCTCTGGAGGCTGCTTTAACATCAGGCTTCTTAGATGCCTTGCACTAGATAGAAATCAAGCATTCTCCCAAGGTTGTCCCTGCACCATCCTAAGCCAACGCAAGTCCTGGAATGTCTATGAAGCTACAGCACATCTGGCATTATAGATCGCCCTTGAAGCATGTTGTGAATTTCAGCATTTGGTCTACTTTTGCACCGTTCTTCCCCATCCTTAATCTTTGCACACAAACATGTTGCTTAGGGAGGGGGACCCTTCCACGTTTGGATGGGAACGACCCAGCACTGCAGCTGTTTTGGATGTGCGAGAAAAGTTTTCTGTCCGTGGGTAAAAACAGTCAAACAGATAAAAGGAGTAAAGTGGCTGTACAACAGAGGCTGGGTAAACCTGAGCCCAGACTTCACAGGGTTCCTTGTGAAGGGAGGAAAGCTTTAAAAAAAAAAAGCATAAGGGAAAGGCTAACCTGCACTGACTGGAGGACACCTGATATGACAGGTTGTAGCTGAAAAGTGAAAGAAGTTCAACCCAAACAGTGTTTAAAAATACAGAGAGCAGTTCCTACCTCGCATTCCCTGGAGCCTCCTTTGCTGTAGGTACAAGGTCCCGTCCCGTTCAGCAACATCTCGCTGGTCTCGCTGTTGGTGGGCTTATAGTCAACATAAAATTCCTGGGTGGTTGGAGTCATCTGCTTTAGCGACTGTCGTTTCTTTTTCCTGTGCCGTCGCATTAGAGAGCGTTGCTGCAATTGCTTCATGCTGGCAGGGTAGCGCTTCCAGGACACGTAGATGACCAGCAGGATCACAAGCACGGATAAGAAGAGGGCCACACTCCCAGCAATGATTTTATGGAAGGAGATCTGCTCAGTGCTGTGCTCGGGCCCGGAGCTGGCCTCGGGGACCCCTGTGGTGGGGGGCAGGGGAGGCTGGCTGTCATGCTTAGGCCGGATGACTTTTGGTTTAAAGGTGGGCTTGGGGGGAGCCTGTGGCATGTCAAACCTTTCTGTAGTACTTTTGCCACAGATGCTATAATTTTTCACGGCATCTATAACATTCACCCCTTGCAGTTCTTTGGGGCTGGCACAAATAATTGTATTTTCCCTCAGCCCTTTGAAACTTTTAAGCCAGTTTACCAGGGAGCAAATGTTTCTGCTGCATTCCCATATATTCCCAGCGAGGCTGATGTCGTTCAGAGATATCCAGGAATCCAAAATCTCTTGGCCAATAAATGTGAGCTTGTTGGAATCCAGGTTGAGGCGCTGCAAATTGGGCACACACTGGAAAACACTTGGTCCACTGAAAGCTTCTATTTCATTTCCTGATAAATCAAGCCTTTGTAATGAGCTCCAAGTCCAAGACATGGTTTGTCCTATAACACTGATTTTATTCCACTGTAAATAAAGGTTCTGTAGGCTGACCAGCCTTGGAAAAAGTGCCAAGTTAAGCTTAGAAAACTGATTGTGCTCCAGGTGCAGCTCTTTCAGCCTGATCATGCCAGCAAAGACATTCCTTGCAAGGCTTCGGATCCTGTTGTAACCCAGGTCTAAGAGTTCCAGGTTCCTACAGTCCTGGAAAATCCGGACTGGGATCGTTCTCAGGGAGTTGGATCTCAGGTGTAAACTCAGCAGCTTCCTTAAGCCTCTGAATTGCTCTGCTCCCAGGGAATGCAGCTGATTGTAGGAGAGATCCAAATTTCGGAGGTTTGTTACCGGTCTGAAGGTGTTATTAAGAAAAAAGGCAATTCTGTTGGAACTCAGAATTAACTCTTTCAGTCTGCGTATTCCATTGAAAGCGTTTTCATCGATGCTGCCGATATGATTGTGGTCTAAGTAGAGCCAGGTAAGTTGATTAAGACCTTTAAATTGGTTGTATTTTAGTTTTTGAAGGCTGTTGTACCGCAAGGACAAACCTAAACAACCAGCTGATATACTGGAGGGTATCTCTTGTAATTTCTGGGACTCGCAATATACCATTTTGCCTTCACACCTACAGCCCTTCGGGCATCCTCGTTCAGCAGACGAAAGCATTGTCAGTAACACAGTGGGAGCTATTACCAGGGCTACTGCTGATCCGCTCAGTAGCCTAAATACATTGAAACCTGGAAATAGAAATAACTTAGAAAAGTTATCCCCCCAAAAAAACAGTCCAAATATTTGTCAGTCATGCTCAGAAAGGCTACCACAATAAAGAGGGAAAAAAAAACCCTCCCGCAGAAGAAGTACTTTGCAAGCAGTTTTATTTTACTCCCTCCCCCATAACCCACCCCCCTGCCCTATTTTAAGGCGACAAATCTAATAAAGAGAAAGGAAGAACCCGTGTAAGCCAGACAGAGCCAAACTGAATCACACACCGAAATGTATCTCCAGTCGTAAGCTTGCACAGAGGCCAATCTACAGGGTGATTAATACAGAAGCATTGCAGAGATTGCTGTTAGGCTTACTAGAAAAGAATGAAATGGAAACATACCCATCCTTTTGTGTTTTCAAAGGTCGTCCTTAGCTCTTTTGCTTTTTCCTAGGGGCCACAAACATGACAGCCCCTGTCAGCTGTTCTTTGGTGAGTCAAGCTTTGCTGATACCCAGGAAGCAAAATTGGACCTCCTGGGAAATGGACCGATTTTGGATCATTATCCTTTGCCAGGCAAGCAGAACATCCCAAGAGCAAATAAATCCCAACCCAGCATTGGCAGGAGAAAGTCAAGTTCTTCCGAGGTGATAGGGTCTTCATGGGTGATGCGGTTTGGAATCTTTACATCGTAGACTCGGCTTCTTTCAAATCTCCCGTCGCAAAGCTTGAGAGGTCCCTCCAAGTGACGCTCAGCTGTCTGAATTCACCCATCTGTATTCCACTGGGCAGCCCAGTACTCATAGTCTGCACCCTCAATCCGGCTAAGGAAGCTGCGTTGAAGCAGAGAAGCCAGGATGACCCGGTACAATGAACAAGCACTGTTCACTTCTGCATCCTGTCACTCCGAAAAGCTTCTCTGACTGTTGCTTTGGTTTCAGTCAATGCAGTCTTATGTAAAGCTGCCCCCAGTGGTGAAGAATATTATGGGCATGTGCAGAAATGCCTCCTTCCTTTTCTTTCTTTCTTTCTCTCTCTCTCTCTCTCTCCCCCCCCACCCCCGTTCTTTTTTCAATCTTGCAAATGAATTAGCTCTGGGCTGGGAAATGAGTGATTGTTCTGGGTCACTAAATAGCAGCAGACTGGACAACCTCGCCGTGCTCTAGTGAAACAGTAGTTTTGGCTGCGCCCTCCTTCCCCTCCTCCCCTTAGATAATTTAGCCGAGCCTTTTGTGTTCAACATCTGCTGCTGGGACTTTTTGTGAGCATGAAGCACAATTGTCACTTTTCATTTAGGCATGAAGGCAGCGCACAAGTAATGCATACATATCTTGCGCCTCAACCAGGAATGCAATCAAACACCTCTCTCTGTAAAGTGATTTTGAAACACAACTAATCCAGGTTATTCCTTTGTTATTGGATATGTTTGATGAGTATCATGAGAAACTAAAGGCTTGGTGAGCAACAGGACAATAACTTTTGCTTGTCTGTAGATTCACTCTCTGCGCTGAAGGGGTAATTCTGAATGTTTTACCTAATCATTAAAGCTACAGGACTCCCATACAAATCTGCCCTAATATCTGAGGGCTACTTAGAGGAGGGAATAGAAGGGGAACTTACCAAATTTGCAGATGATACTAAGCTGGCAGGAATAGCCAACACCTTAGAAGACAGGCTCAAGGAGTGAAGACTGGGCCCTATCTGACAAAATGAAATTCAATGTAGAGAAAAGTAAAGTCTTACACTTAGGCAAGGAAAACCAAAAGTACACATATAGATTGGATGAAACCAGGCTTAATAGCAGTAACTGTGAGAGGGATCTTGGAGTCTTATTGGACAATTAGCTAAATATGAGCCAGCAGTGTGCAGCGGCAGCCAAAAAAGCCAATGCAATCCTAAATTGCATTACCAGAAGGATTCAATCAAGATCACATGAGACATTAATACCACTCTATAAAGCCTTAGTAAGACCTCACCTATAATACCGCATCCAGTTTTGGTCACCACATTATAAAAAAGATGTTGAGACTCTAGAAAAAGTTCAGAGAAGAGCAACCAGGTTGATTAGGGGACTGGAGACTAAAACATATGAAGAATGGTTACAGGAATTGGGCATGGCTAGTCTAGTGAAGAGAAGGACTAGGGGAGACATGATAGCAGTGTTCCAATATTTGTGGGGCTGCCACAGAGGGAAGCTATTTATCAAGGCACCTGAAGGCCAGACAAGGAATAATGGATGGAAACTGACCAAGGAGAGATTCCACCTAGAAATAATATCATCTCATCTCATCTCATCCTGAAATTTTGCTGCAGAGCACCTGTTCCACCATTATCTGACTGTAGCTGGAGGGCATGAGGCAAAGCTGAACTTGTAGCTGCTCAGTTTCGGTTCAGGCTGTTAGTTTGGCACCCTTTTTAAAAAATAACTTTATTACTACAATTCGGGATCTGTTTACTTTAGTTTTGTAATGCCAAATGTGAACTTCGTGCCATTTTTATTAACTTGAGTATGTTTATAGAATGATAAAATGGACTTTATTCTGGCATACAAAAAGTGCTGGCGTGCAATGCAGCTTTCCTGCTCCTTCTTGATCGCCCACCATGTCCAAGAGAAACATGGATACTTAAGGATTTGCAAAAGTGAAGCCCCTCTTTGTTTATCCTGTCCATTAATTTAGGTGGGAGTCTTCCCTAGGGAAATTTTGATAGATTTTGTTAGAAAGAAGACAAGAGATCAAGTCCTAGAGCAGGATTTTAACACAAGCTTGAAAATGACAGTTGAAGACATATTTTAACAGATTCTTAACAGATTAACAGAGTTGGAAAGGACCTTGTATGTCATCTAGTCTAACCCCCCACCCAAGCAGACCCTACACCATTTTTGACAGATGGCAGTCCAGTCTCTTCTTCAAAGAGCCTTGGTAGTACAGGGGTTTAAGGCACCCTGTTATTAAGCTTATTAAGACCAGCTGCCTGCAATTACTGCAGGGTTCGAATCTCGCCAAGGCTCAAGGTTGACTCAGCCTTCCATCCTTTCTAAGGTAGGTGAAATGAGGACCCAGTTTGTGGGGGCAATAAGCTGACTTTGTATAAATATACAAAAGGATGAAGGCTATTGCTGAGCACATTGTAAGCCGCCCTGAGTCTTCGGAGAAGGGCGGCATATAAATCAAATTAAAAAAAAAAAAAAGCTTCCGGTGATGAAGCTCCCACGACTTCTGAAGACAAGCTGTTCCATTGGTTGATTGCTCTCACTGTCAGAAAGTTTCTCCTTGTTTCCAGGTTGAACCTCTCCTTGTTCAGTTTCCATCCATTATTCCTTGTCTGGCTTTCAAGTGCCTTGGAGAATAGCTTGACCCACTTCCTCTCTGTGGCAGCCCCTCAAATATTGGAACATTGCTTTCATGTCTCCCCTGGTCCTTCTCTTCACTAGACTAGCCATGCCCAGTTCAATATTTGTTTTGAAAGAGATTCTTATTAGAATTCTGTATAAGAGAAAAGAATGTACCTTTTTTGGCTAAAAACCTAAAAGAGAAAAAAGATCCCATTTCAGTGGAATAAATTGGAAGGCATCATTTTTACCTTTCAATAGAGATTTAGACTGAATTCAGTTCTGAAGATAAGAGGTTTCTTTTTTTTTTTTTTTAAGAAAGATATAAATGAGAATTGGAGGAGATGGAAATGGAGGTTTCAGAGGAAACTACATAACAGGACACTACGCTACAGGAATTGGAAAAAAATATTACTAAATTAGGCGCTACAGATGTGGACTTTCCTAAATTTTGGGCTGAACTATGGATTACAAGTGTTTAACATGGAATATAAATGGAGCAAATGTTCCTCAAAAGAGGAAAGAAATATTTCATTATTAAAAAAAAAGTAAAGCAAGACATAATTTGCCTACAAGAGACTTATATCAGGAAAAAATATATAAAATATTTGACTATAAAAAGTTAAGTGAAGAATTTATTTCAGCACAGCTTAAAAAAAAGAAATGGAGTCATTTTGTATATTAATCCTCTATTAAACCCAGGACTTTTATTAATGATGAATATGATAGATTTGTTGGAATACATGTAGTCCTTGACCTATAACCATTTGTTTAAGAACAGTTCAAAGTTGTGACAGCCTCAGAGTAAGTGATTTACAATCTGTACTCACACTTTCAATACTCACAACCATCACACGATCACCTACAGTCACATGGTCACAATTTTGACACTGATATGATATTCCATTGGAGAAAATAGATGAATATCTTATAAAGCAAAATTTACCAACAATTACAGAGGAGCATGGAACATAGAATCATTTTGGTTGGAAGGAATCTCAGAGGTCTTCTTATCCAACCTCTTGCTCAAGACCTTATGCTGTCCTGGTCAATCTATTTTTGAAAACCTCCAGTGATGGAGCACCCACAAAGAACAAAGAGAAATTATAAAGAGACTTATAATAATAAGGGAAGTTTCAGAAGCAAGTGAAAAAAGTATACCAAGAAAAATGCCTAAATCAGATGGACTATCGAGTTTGTATTATATGTGTTTTGAGGAAAGAACTTTTACAAACCATGATGGATTTTATTCTACAGGGAGGAAAGATGCCAGAGATCCAGAAAGAGGCTAATATAACATTAATACCTAAATACCTTATGATTTATATTGATTGTTTCCTAGTATGATTCGATTGCTTATTTGTACCCTATGACTATCATTAAGTGTTGTACCTTATGATTCTTGACGAATGTATCTTGTCTTTTTATGTACACTGAGAGCATATGCACCAAAGACAAATTCCTTTTGTGTCCAATCACACTTGGCCAATAAAGAATTCTATCTATTCTCCATAGTGTGGCGACAGAAAATAACTTTGCAAAAATTTATTCATGAGGATCATGACATCTTTCAACTAACTTTTTAGCTAAAAGTTAGTTGAAAGATGATGTTAAAACTATGTTAGATATTTTTGGAATATTTGGAACAACGAAAAAAAAGTCGCATCAATCTTTTTAGATGCAGAGAAGGTTTTTGACAATTGGAACTGAGTTTTCTTTTGAACTGGTTTTGGAATTATGGAGAAAATTTTATAAAATGGGTGAAATTGATTTATACTTCACAGATGGTACAAATAATCATTAATGCTGGTTTAACCAAAGCATGTGAGATACAAAAAGGAACACGGCAAAGTTGTCCTTTGTCCCCTCTTTTGCTTATTTTAGTTCTTGAAATATTGAACAGAGACATAAGACAATATGAAAAGACTGCGGACAAAAATATTTAAAAAGAGTTATACAAGTTAAGAGTTTTCACAGATTACTTGGTTGTGTTTTGGCTGACCCTTTAAAGGGAGTTGAACTTTTAATGAGTAAATTAAAATAATTTGGAGCATTAGCAGTTTACTAGATTAACAAACAGAAGACAAAGATGTTAACAACAATTATGAAGTTAAAGATCAAACAGAATCGATAAATGAAATGTGTTTTAAGATTAAGAAGATAAAATACTTGGTATCCATATAACAAATATGAACTGTAAGTTATTCCGAAATAACGATGTTATGACATGGAATGACAAAAAAAATATATCAATGGTAATGGGAGCGACATGGCGTTCCCATGTAACACCCCTCCTGTGCGAGCTGCACTGGCTCCCGGTGGTCTTCCGGGTGCGCTTCAAGGTTTTGGTTACCACCTTTAAAGTGCTCCATGGCTTAGGACCTGGGTATTTGCGGGACCGCCTACTACCACCAATAGCCTCCCACCGGCCGGTATGCTCCCATAGAGAGGGGCTCCTCCGGGTGCCGTCAGCCAAACAATGCCGACTGGCGGCCCCCAGGGGGAGAGCCTTCTCTATGGGGGCACCTACTATCTGGAACGAGCTCCCCCCAGAGATACGGAGGATCCTGGATCTGTGCACCTTCCGCCGCGCTTTAAAGACCTTACTATTTCACCAGGCGGGCCTGGCCTAATTTTCTCCCTCTTTTATAAAAGATTTTTA